CACGGCCGTCCGCACCAAGCGGCTCCTCGCCCGACGGCTCCTCTCTGCGAGGCGCGGGCGCCGGAGAGGCGCCCTGCGCGGCGAGCGCCCTCGCCACTCCCTCGGCGAGGCCGCCGTACGCTGCCCGCACCGCCTCGGCCCCCGCACACACCTTCGCCTCCGCCTCCACGCGAGCCGTCTCCGCAGCGCGCAGCGCCTCGGCCGTCGCCTCGCCGTGCAGGCGCTGAAGCTCCTCGTCCGCCTTCCTCCGCAAGTCCTCGGCCCGGAAGATGTCGCTCTCCGCCGCGTAGAGCGCCGCCGTCGCCTTCTCGACGGCGGCCTCTCGCCTCGCCTCGCTCGCGCCGCGCGCCTTCTCCAGCTCCTCCTCGCAGGCGGCCCGCGCGGCGGTGGCCTTTCTGACAGCGCGGGCCGCAGCCTCCCGCTCGACCGATGCGCTCAGCACCAGGTTCTCCAGCGCCAGCAGCACCTCGATGCCGCCCTCGGCGACTCGCCTCCGCGCGGCGTGCAGCTCTGCCACAGCTTTCTCGCCCATGCCTGCCCGCGCCGCCCTCACCAGCTGCGCAATCGCCACGAGGCGCGTGGCGTCGCTCCCCACGGCGCTGCCAACGGCGGGCGCACCGATCCAGGCACCCTCCGATACCCACTCGCTCAGTTCGGGGAGCACGAGGGTCAGCCGACCCTTCTTGTCCGCGGCGCTGTCCTTTGAGTAGCTGGCATACAGGGCGCTGACGTCGTCGATGCAGTCCCGGAGGCGGCGGAGCCGCCTCTTGGCGTTGGCCACGCGTGAGTCGATGCCGAGATCGTCGCCGATCCTCTTGTCGTGGGCACGGTCCGGATCAACCGTCAGGAACGAAAGCTTGCGTGGCCCAGCTTGCTTGAGTGTCGACTGGGACGCGGCGAGGCGAGCGGCAGAGACGGCGCGAGATCTCTGGGCGGCTCGCTCATCATCCCCGGCCAAACCCAGAGTGCCGTCGTCGTCAGTAACGGTCGGGGCGCCCTTGCTGGAGCCGCAACCCATCAGCGATCTTGCAGCGGGCTAGCAAGGGCGATTGAGTGGCTCGCGCCGCTTGCAGCGATCTTGCAGCGGGCTAGCAAGGGCGATTGAGTGGCTCGCGCCGCTTGCAGCGATCTTGCAGCGGGCTAGCAAGGGCGATTGAGTGGCTCGCGCCGCCTTCCGCGGATTTGCTTTCTTTTCAACGGATTTCTTTCCGTTCCGCGGCAAAAGTTTCTTCATCACGGCGCCTTCCCCTGCCGGCTCTTAGCCTCAGATATGGCCGCGCACCGCATCGGCGCCCGCCTCTCGGGCCTTTTTTACCTGGCTCTTGCTGCACGGGCCGAGGACTGCGCCGACGGCGGCCCCTTCAAGTGTACCGACGATGCCGGCTGCCCCAGCCCCGAGGTTTCATGCGCGCAGCTCGCTGCGCTCAAGCAGTGCGGTAGCCGCTTTGACCAGATATTCGACCGGCCGCCGGCGACGGCGCACCCGCGCGTGGGCGAGGCGTGCCCTGTGGCCTGCGGCTCCTGCGGCTCGGGCGGGCCTGCGGCCGGCGCTGGGCCCAGCCGCACGACCGCCGGCAGAGTGGCGCCTCCGCGGGCCTCGAGTGGGACCCGAAGCTCGACCCGAAGCCTCAAGATCACCGCTCCCGCTGGATCGCACGGAGGCCACCTGCTCCTCGTCGAGACGGCGGGGAGCGTCATCAAGGTCGACGTGCCCGCCGGCGTGAGGGCGGGCGAGGCCTTCGACGTCCCGGTCCTCGCCGAGCTGTGGTCGGAGCGGCCCGTGGCGCGGCTCGCGCTCGACGGTGGGCCGGTGGCCTCGGGCGACGGCTACAAGTCTCCGGCGCGCAAGCCCAAGCAAGCGAGGCTGGCGGGGGCGGGGCGGGGCGGGCAGTCGTTTTCGGCCCGGGCTGGTTGGAGGCTCCGGTGGTGGTCGCTGTAGGCGCG